GGTTATTTATTTATTAAATATTTATATTTATTAAAAGCCATGTGAAAAAGGCATGTACAAAATGATAATATTTTTGTTCATTCATCTACCTATCCATTCAACAAGATGTATTCAGCATCAGCCATGTCCCAGCATCATGTCAGGTGGTAAGGGTACAGACATAAATAAGGTCCCTCAAGGAATTCAGCCTAGTTGGGGCAACCCACCCATAAGGAAATAGTACCATCAAGTTTTAAGGATATTTTGAGAGATAATGATGATGACTTTGGGTCACAAGGAGAGTCGTTGGTGGAGTTAGGAAGACATCAAAGGTGATGTGATGCTTGAGTCAAGGATAAGCAGATGTTCAGCAGGCAGTGGAAAAGGGGGAAAAGACTTTCCAGGCAGAGGGAGCAGCACACGCAAAGACACGGAAGTGGGAAAGTGCACAGCACATCCAGATAGACACCTGGGAGTGGTTCAGTGTAGCTTTGGTGACAGAGTGAGGGAGGCACTTTTTAATGAGACCAGAATAGAGGAGAAGGGGTCTGGGTGAAAAGATCATGTATTCAGTTTTGGATGTGATGCTTGAGGGCCTCTAGGAAAAGTTGCCAGCAGGCATTTTCAGGACTGCCTGTAGACCTGGGCAAGAGAGAAGCTCCCTTAGCCTCCCTTTAGAGGGCCCTGTTCTGTCCTTCCTCCAGATGTATGTACTCTACCACACAGGCCAAGGGGACTTCCTCACCCCAGAGCCCACACACTCCTACCCTTTCTAGACTATACCAGGCCCCTGGGACCACAGGATTCCTTGTTCAAACAGCCCGAGCCTACTTTCAGGGCCTGTGGAGGATTCTTCCTTGGGTCCACTCTCCTAGGAATGTGCACCTAGAGGTGTAGTGTGGAGAGTGGACCTGAGGATGATGTTGACAATGGAGACAGCAATGATGATGTCTCTGTTCCTTTGCATTTCTTTTCTCTGTCTCAAACACCCTTTTCCTCTCTCTCCACCTCTACCCAAATTCCTACAGATCACGTTCTCTAGGAAGCTCCGATTTGCCCCGTAATACTGGAGGAAGGATAGTTTAACTTTCTCAACCAGGGCTCTTTATCTAAACCACGAAACAAGAAATTGATTTCAGTACTATTCTCTCAAGGCTGGTACATAACTAGTACCATTCTAGATGCAAAGGAGTTGACTTATTACCTAATTTGATGCCTTAGGATATTTAGGGTTTATTTCTTTTATCTGTTGAGAAACACATAGGCCCTAAAATCAAGAATGCTACCATGGGCCAGACACAGTGAGTGGTTCATGCCTCTAATCCCAGCAGTTTGGGAGGCTGAGGAGGGAGGATCACTTGAGGCCAGGAGTTTAAGACCATCCTGGGAAACAAAGCAAGTTTCTGTCTCTACAAAAAAATCTAAAAGTTAACTCGGCGCAGTGGTGTGTGCCTTTAGTCCCAGCTACTTAGCAAGCTGAGTGGGGAAGATAACTTAAGCCCAAGAGTGAGGCTGCAGTGAGCTATGATTACGCCACTGTACTCCAGCCTGGGTGACAGTGAGACCCTGTCTCTAAAAGAAAAAAAATGCTACTGTTATTGTCCCTCTGCCCTTGACCTTGGTCATTAGCACAGATGGCTGGAGGAGGGAAGCTATGGGAAGGAAGTGTTAGAGGATAAGGCTTTTGTTATCTCTGACCTGCAAATTGAGGAAGAGGTCTGGAAAGGAAGTACATTCTCACTTTCCCAACATGGGCAAAGGTAGAGAGCTGTAAGGTCTTACCAGTCAGGACAGGAAAATTCAAAGACAACCACCTCCTAGGCCTTGACGTGTTGGTCATCACCAACTTTCTCAGGTGGCAATTGCCAAAGTCAGGCAGCACTGTATGTTATGTTGTGGAAGACAAATGCTCTGTAAATAAATTGACTTGAAACAGTCTGAAATACACATAAACCACAATGGCTTTAAATGTAACTCTTGACTTTTTTCTCATTTTCTTTCTCTTCTAAGAGAGGTCAGCAAGGAAAGTTCTGTGAGAGAGGCTTTACAGAAATTCAACCTAAGAAACCCAGGAGGACTTCTATGTATCTGCTGTAATAAACATTTTTCACTCCTAAATATTTGTTTAAAAGCTCTGGGAGTCTTTAAACTCCAGAGATGGATACATATATCTCTGAGCATGCACCTGTATTTCAGACTTTTTTTTTCCCCCATTTATTTATTTTATTGCATTTTAGGTTTTGGGGTACATGTGAAGAACATGCAAGATTGTTGCAAAGGTACACACGTGGCAGTGTGATTTGCTGCCTTCTTCCCCATCTCCTACATCTGGCATCTCTCCCCTTGCTATCTCTCCCCAGCTCCCCACCCCCCACCGTCCCTCCCCTATTTCCCCCCAACTGACCCCAGTGTGTAGTGCTCCCCTCCCTGTGTCCATGTGTTCTCATTGTTCAACACCCGCCTATGAGTGAGAACNTGCATTTTAGGTTTTGGGGTACATGTGAAGAACATGCAAGATTGTTGCAAAGGTACACACGTGGCAGTGTGATTTGCTGCCTTCCTCCCCATCACCTACATCTGGCATCTCTCCCCTTGCTATCTCTCCCCTACTCCCCACCCCGCTGTATTTCAGACTTAACGATTCACTTGTTATATGCTATACATCAATCCTTTTAAAAAATCATTTTCTAGAGGAGGTGATTATTCATTTTGTCATTCAATTTCCCATCATTAAAAATTTCATGCAGTGAAATCACTGCATACTAATGGGGTACTGTGTAAAGAGAATATTTTTAGTGACTAAACTGAAAGAAAAGATCATTGATGGCTCTTCTATCTAAGGATTTGAGGAGGAATCAGAGACAAATTTCTGAGGAATACCTTCGAAAGACTTGGAAGCTACCAGAATGCATAGTAATGAAATGGAGGCCTTAGGGCTCCCTTTTCAGCTCAGATTCAGAAGCAGAGGTGCCCCCTTTTAAGTAACACTCTATCTCAACGGTATTTCATTCGCAGGATAAAGTTAATTAAATCTCCTTTCCCCCCACCGTCATCACGTCACCACTTTAGCAAGGACAATAGAAGCACAGGGTCCTGAGTCTGCACTGACTGGTCATTCATCTGAAAGGACGGTCACAGGGTGGCCAATGCTAATTGGAAGAGCATTTAATGCCCGGTTTGCATGACTGAAAGAAAGAGGACCCACCTCTGGCCTTGCAAATAAAAGACTTTGATGGTGTGAGAAAATGGCTAACTTGGCTAAAGGAGGTTAAATTCCACTGAAGCCTTTCAAGTGGGTGCAGACAGGGCGATATTCTGTAGGGAGCTGTCTTCAGTAGGCAAGATTTCACCTTGGCTTGTAAAAAATGCTGTTCCCTAGGTTTTAAGGGTCCATGTGCTTGTGCTTTTTACTGGAAATTTCTCAGACCATGACATGGCCTGTGGTGATTATTTTTCTGGGCTGTAGTCTACCAACAATCTTCTTGAGGAACTGCGTTTTGAGCATTAAACCTTACTCCTCTTTAATTTCCCAGCGTCCTCTCTGCCTAACAGGATTGGCTGTCTACTTTGGACTTTAGTAATGTCTATCTTCTTGCAGCTTCTTCATCATACCATGCAATTGCACACCTCTGGACCTTTGCTGTTACTTGCTGCACCCAGAACTTGCTTCCTTCTTTCCTCCCTGCTTTTTCCTAGCCCATTTTATGACATCAGACAATTTAGCAGTTATCTTCTCTAGTAACCCTTCTGAACCTCTACAGTGACCTAAGGTCCTCACCTCTGCATCTCCTAAGCCCCTCTATAGTTACAATTATATTCAAATTGAGTTCACACAGTAGGTGCACACTATCCACCTGTTAAATATTTCAGGTTATGCACAACTTTGTTTATTTGGATGGGACCAAGGAGATAGTTTTTATGTGGTTTTAAAAATATTCATTTAAATCTGTGGAGTTAGAAACCCAAAAGGACAAATTTGTTATTAAGGGGAAGAAGGGATATTATAGTGACCAGTTGCTGGAGTCCTACCCTGTGCCAGTTACTTACGTTTTACATTAATTCTAATCTTTGCATAATTCTAATCCCTACAATATTCTTTTGAGATAGGTCTTATTGCCTGTATTTTACTAGTGAGGTTAATGATTAAATGACTCATCTAAGGTCATACATCTGAGAGAGGGACCCAAATAACCCATGCCTAGCTCTGTCCAATTCAGAACCCTATTACCCTACGATAACAAGGGGCCATTTGGAGAGGCTAATCCCACTGAAGCTCGTATACTGTGACTTTTGAATGACTTTTCTTTTCTGGTAAATTACCCCTGGCAAAGAACGCAAAGAGGAAGTATAAACGGAAGACCCTTTGCGATTAGTCTGTCAGCTGAACTGCTGCATTTGCTCGTATCCAGATTTACATGGGTTTTGTGAGGGAGTGAAATGAGAAACGTGCGGCTTCCAGGTGGCCGAAACGCTAGGCAAAAAAGCTGAGTTCGGGGTACGCGTTTATGGGAAGTTTCAGCTTCATTATCAGGTTAAGGTGTTTTCCTCTACCCCTCAATAAGGGGCGGGAAAGCGTCTGAGTGTGGCAGGGAAGGATGGGTGGAAGAGGAAGGTTCTCCAGCCAAGCGCAAAGCAAGCGACTCTGCCGCCTGGCGCAGTTGCCAGGACAGCGCGGCCGGAGCAGCAACGGCAGAAGCCGCACTCGGGTGACGCATTGCAGGTACGAACCAGCCAATCACCGGCTGGCTCAACGACCGTCGGGGTACGCGTCGCCGCCACGATGCTCCTCCGCGCCGCAAAGTAGCGCCCCACAGGAGATGTTCCACCGGCATTTTAACGGCTCACTAGGGAATGAAACCCACTTACGTCATCCGTTCGACCACTTTACTTGATCTCTTGCCTTATCGACCAAATAACTGTGAAGAAAGAGGTCCCGAGAAGAGTTTGAGGGGAGGGGGGTTGACTGGGACTCGTTTGTGATGTTCCGTTATCTGAAAGCGGCGGAGGGATCTGGCGGAGGGAGGTGTTTATGAGGCGCTGGGGGCGGAGGAGAATTAGTCCGAGTGAAGCGAGCGAGTCGAGTGGTTGTGTGATCGCGTCTCGGAAACCGGTAGCGCTTGCAGCATGGTGAGTGCTTTGCTGAGCTGCCTGCGCTGGGCCTGTGGGGGGAAGAGGCTGGACCGAATTGACTAAAGAAAGGAAACTCGCCTCCCTTACACTTTCAAGGAGTGGTATCCGCCAGAGGGATGGCGCGAAAGAGGCCGGGGACGCCCGCGTCGGTTGTGTCGCAGGTGCTCCCCACCCCCATTCTCCTCAGGGGGGGCTTTCTCTAGTGAGTTGAGGGCCGGACGCACAGCTCCCGAGGTCGTGAAGCTCCTTGGGGGCTTGGCTGGAGGAGGTTGGGTCTGGCGTGAGAGACAGCCCAGTGCACCGGGAACAGAGAAAGGGGAAGGAATGGGGAGAGGGAGCGCAGAGAGCCTTCGGTCGGGCGTCTCGAAAGGTCAAGCTGGGGCCGGATTCAAATCCCCAACGGACGGTTAGTGCGGGCGCCAGGAAGCGCCTTTGTCCGCTTGCGGCCGCCATGCGCCCAGGGGGCGGGAGGAGCGCGCGGGGCCCTGGGGCGAGCGCCGGCGCCGCCGTTACCCCGCGTTCTCCGCGTGCTGGGGTCCGGTGGGCTGGCGGGCGGCGCGCTGTGTGGGCCGAGCTCGCGCCGCGCAGGGAGCGGCCGGTGGGGGCGGGGCGGACGAGCGCCGCGCTAGACCCGAAGCCGCCGCCCGGCTCAGCCCAGCTCGAGCTCCAGCTGCTGTGCTGGCACCTGCAGGACTGCGGAGATCTCCGCGGCGCTGCGGGGCCGTTGGCGGGGATGAGCGGGGGGAGGGGGGCCCTCGACGGTTTCCCATCCCCCTCTGGCAGTGTTAATCTTCCTGCTCCATCTGGGCCCTGGGGCGTCTCCCACCACCCCAGGCCAGATGCTTTTAAAAAAAATTTTTTTCTGAAGTGTCTCTTGTTGAAAGAAATTAGCTTTACCCCTGAAGTCAGGGGCGCATCCTCGCAATATACATCTTGTTAGGGAAAGTGTTCGGCTCCAGCTTAGGGATCTACAGGCGTTTCCTGTTCAACGCCGGAGAAAAACAAGCTTCGGAGTGACTGCCTGCCTTCTGAAAGTCGGTCTGGTCTCGTACAATTGAAAGGGTGTCTTTGAAGAGCCCCGTCTGTCCTATTCTTGAAAACTCAACGTGCAGTCCTAATGTTCAAGAACCACGACCACGTAAAACATTTTTCCCCTTCTGCTTTGAAAAGGACCCTAATTTCCGTGTAGAAATTGCCAGTTCGTCTTAACGTAGACTTCATTTGTGTGGTGCTTGTCAAATACTGTGATGGAGGCGTATATATGCGGGGAGGAGCAGGAAATTTTTAAAAGCATTTTCCGGTCACCTCAGACTGGAGATCATGTTCTGTCCTGGGGTGGGGGGGAAAAAAACGAAAAAAAAAATTGTAACGAGGGCGGTAATCTGCGACACTTATTTTGTGGTTCCTCTGCCAAGTGGTTACAGCGATGGGTGTGTCCAGGAGGCAAGGTGACATCTTAAACAGGAGTTGGGGATCCTTGCCAACTGAAACCTCCAGCTTGTATGGGTGTGGGGAGAGGAGTTTATTTTAAATAAAACTAGCGTTCATTGAAATTGGATAGATTCTAAGTATTCCGAATTTGAATGTGCTGGTTACATATGCTCTCTGTAAGATGTATGTATAGGCATATGTAGTCAACATTATGGGTTGTGGAGTAGTAAGCCTTTTTAAAATAAATGAAGGGTAAGGTTTTCTCAATCAGTTTTGATAATTGAATCAATAATTCGAATAGATTTTTCTTCGTAGAGTTGGTATTTACTCTTTTGTGGTCGCTTGCCCAGTGTTAAGCTTTTGTAGTGTTTCCATCACTGGTGCTTTGGCGGTTTTCTGTTAAATTTGACATCTCTTACTAGAAGAGACAAAGTCGGGAAAAAAAATCTTGATAAAAATTGACAGATACCGTTAGTAAACTTGAAAGTTGCCTTCAGATAACTATATAATTAGAAAACTGAGCTTTTAAATTAGGACTCCAAAAAAAAAAAAAAAAAAAAAAGAATTAGCTGGGTATAGTGGCCTGTGCATGTAGTCCTGGCTACTCTGGGCTGAGGTAGGAGGATCATCTTGGGCCCAGGAGTTGGAGACTGTAGTGAGCTGTGATCACACCATTGCACTCCCTGGGCAACAGACTCTCAAAAGACAAGAAAATTAGGACTCCAAGTTAAAGTATAAAAAATTTGATATGGAAGGTAAAGTAAGATTGCTCATATAACTCCTCTTGGGTTTACATGTAGTCAGTATATGCTCACTGAAAACGGGATTGCTTCAAGAGGACTTTGAGGCCAGGGTGATTAGGTAAGTAAAAGATAAAGGTAGAAAATTTTTGTCACTTAGGTCTAAGTAATTATTCTAGTAAGGCCTGTTTCTGCTAGGCTCAGAAGATTAAAAGATTTGGCTCTTTTAAAATATAGAAAGTGCTAGCTTCAGCTAGAATTTAGGCCTTTAGTAATAGCCCTAATTTTTATGAAGCCATTTTGTTCCAGTGATCTTTTGGTGAGAGATGCTATGTAAGTGCTGTTCTTCAGAATTAGGTGTCTTTTTACCCCTAATGAAATAATTTACATTGCTTTTGGCATAGGTAAAATCTGTAATTGTAGAAAAACCATATGAATCCTTTGTTGTAGAACCTCATGGGGGGAATGAGCAGACAGGAATGGATGAAAGATAGCCAGTTTGTGTTCCATTTCAAGCCTGTGGGCTCACACATTTATTCAGATAAGAACTTCAGATTGTTTTTTTAACCACCTTCACTAAACTGGCATGTAGGAATACATAATGTGTTCACTTTAGGTCTCTAATACAGGTTCGTGTTTCTTAGTGTTGACAGATCACCTGTGGTTCTCCAAAATGCACATTCTAGTCCAAGAGGTCTAGGGGAGGAACCTGAGAGTAGCACACTAATGCTTAGGAATCTGTGGAGTCGCAAGAGCAGTGGAAGAATTAAATCAATAGCTACAGAAATAACAGTAAGAACAAGTCATCTCTCTAGTGAATTATTTTTCACTTTAGTGAGATAAACATACATGTTAATGAGCTCAAGTTTTCCCAAAAGTATAATTCTTCTGGTTCTTCTAAGAAAATGACACTCAGTGGAAACAGAAGGAAGAACTAAATTTGTTTGCTTTTGTAGCAGTTGGGAAAGTTAGTGCTAGGAAGTCTTTTTGTTTTATAGTAGGCTTTAATCTGGACATTGCTGGTAAAGTTTATTCTAAATCCTTGAACTCTGGATAAGAAGTAAATACAAAAAGCTTCTCAACCTTCCAAGCAAAATTGAGAGCTTTCAGGTTATGTGAGTAATTTAGTCTCTTGGGTGGTTAGTTGATTCCTTGAAGCTCATTTTTGTGATCTCTTCCAAGATTGTATTTGCTTTGAGGGTAGGGAGTTAGACAAGATGGTATGAGGTCTCTAAATTTTTACTTGCCAAACAAAATTGGACAGTGGTTCCTTAATTGCTAACATCTTCGTTTCTTCCTAAAGCCTCATGTTTTATATACAGGAGCCTTCCCAAAATCCCATCCCCCAACACCCTCCATCATGTAGAGAGAACAAACGTCTCTTCCTGTACAGAGTACAGGATCCTTCAACTTTCACACAGGCTGCAGTGTCTGCCACACATTCAGCTCAACATTTTTTAGTCTTAAACTGATGTCACCTGCTGCATCTGTCCCTGGGTTGGACCTTGTAGATTTAGTTTGCATAAATTTTCTCGGCTTGAAGTTAACATTGAATGGAGTAGGCTTACCGTAAAGGGCTTAATAAATGCCATGCATGTCTACATTCTGTGTGGAAATTGAGCTAGTCAGGTTGATACTTAACATTGTAGGTTCTTTAATTTGTGTAAAATAATAGTTACCATTTAACTCTTTAGGTTAGCTTTGTACATAGCATCTCACTTTGCACAACAACCCTACAAGGTAAGTATTGTTATTCTTGTGTTACAAATGAAGTTGACTATGAGAGGTTGAGTACCATGTCCAAGGTCACACAGCTGTTAAATGGCAGAGCTGGGATACTGTGGGATAGCCTAACTGTGACTCAGAACTTTATGCTTTACCCCCACACCATGCCAGGTGGTCCTTCCTTTCAGAAATGATGGAAGTCCTGCAAAATGCAATAAACTGAAGTAATGTAGCTTCTATTGTAACAAAGTAAATAACTCAGTAGATTTACTGGATTTTAAACTTTATTCTTTGGGAAAACAATCTGTGACTTACTTCACACCAAATATTTGTTGGTGAAGGATTTGGACTTTAGGGATAAAAGTGGATACATTTTTATTTTACAAACTCTATTTGAACTTAATTATTGGCTCTTCAATTTTGAATTACCAGCTTTTTTTTTTTTTTTTAATGAATTTTATTTACATCGTGGTCAAATAAAAATTGTTGAGCAGGGAAAATAAACTACTTTCTGAATTCTCGAATTTTCTCATGCTGTGCCCTAGAGAAAATGTGAGGCTATTCCACATTAAGGTGTTACTTTTCCCAGGGGTGTGTTCATTTAAAAAGAATGAAACCAGGCAATGTTTATTTTTCTTTTACTACAAATAAATGAATGGATTAATCATTGTATATTTGACTCCCATATTGATAGGGATTTTAGATAGGAGGCTATTTCTTGGCTGTGTTTCTCAATACTCCATAAGCAGTTGCTTCATGGATGTATATACTGATAAGCATTGAAAAAAGTACATGTTCAAAGAATGCAACAAGGAGTCTGGATATTTTGCAATCATCTTTATATATTACGGTGGTCTGAATTAAAAGCTAAAAGTTACTGGGTGTATCTGACACCTTAGTGCTTTATCTTGGTTCTACTAATTTTGTCTTTCCCACCCCAATTTAACCCTAGCTTCATTCCTAATCTGTAAGATAGGGGATATTACCATTATAAGGTTATTGTTAAGATTGAATAAGGATAAAATTTATAATAGATTTTAGCAAATGCCAGAAAATATTTTCTGAAGAAAACCAAGTGCTATTAAAAAATATCACAAGCCTTAGCCTTACTTTGGGATTTTAAAAACCAAGAGAAAATGGATGGCTGAACTTCTAAACTTTTGGTAAGTATTGTAGTTCAGATGTTCAGAACTCTGAATTCTTTGCATTTGCCTGCTGGGTGAGAAGGAATAAAAGCTTATTGCCCTTCCCCCACCCCTTTTTTAAGTTTTGGAAGATCACTTTCATTTCAGAATGATGTGTTTAACCATTTGTGGGAGTAATTTTCATTTTGTGATCCTGAAGCATTTTGATTCAGTGGGAATTTCTGGTGATTTATTTCTGGCATAGAAGTAAGCTTAAGTTTAGCTATTCTAATGTTGAAAAAGGAAGCAATGTTTCTTTTAGATTCTAAAGTATACTTTGAAAAATATTTTGAAGTATTTGTGTATCTTAAACTTGAAGTTAAGACAGCTTAGCTTTGAAGATAAGATAAACCAGATGTGTGCATTTTCTACCCAGACGTGTTTGTTGCTGGAACTAAATGAAACAGTACTGGGTAACCCTTGAAAGGTTTTAAACTTGTTTATGTAACTGCTAATCTACATGGTCTCAAGTCACTAACCTATCTCTTTGATCTCGTAGGCTGACCAACTGACTGAAGAGCAGATTGCAGGTGAGAAATACTCAGCTAGATATTGTACCCATTAGGTTGTTAAATTGAATAGCCAACTTCAGAATAAGAGACTTATATGAAAAAATTGACTGTGGTATATGTCATGGATACTAACATGGGTGTAATGTGTGTAATGTCTTAGAGTAATTCAGCCTGCTTTGGCAAATGGGATTGTCAAGTTGCCTGTGAAAGATGGGCAGGGCTAATTGTAATTAAAGACATGTATTTTAGTCTGTGTGGATATACTTTGGAGCCTTGCGGTGTAGTAGTTTGGTAGTCTTTGTTTTGTTATTTTTGAAGACTACCTTAGTATAAAACAGGAATTCTGGGTTAGTTAGCACTTTTAACTTCAAATCAGTCTCCACAAGAGAAAGGGAGCCAAGAAGTAACTAAGGCAACTTGAAATGGAGAATCAAAAAGGAACACTGAATTTACCCTAGTTAAAATTAGCTAATATTTTAACCTAAGAATTGCATATTTAGGAAGTTGGCATTCTATTTTATAAATGTCACTGTAGCAATATGGATTTTTCTTTTAAAAAGCAGTGACAGCTATTGAAACTGCTTAAATCTTGCCCAACCCTTTAGTTTGCCATGGAAAGTATATGAAATTATTACATAATTGTATATCATGTTCTTTTTATGCCATCCCGTAGAACATTAATATTTTTGATTTATCCTTATACTTTGAGATGACTGGTTAATGTCAATGTTAGGGAAATGTTTTTTCTTTCCTTACTGAAGTTTGTTGTTTTTTTTAACTGTAGTGTTGAAATGCTTTGCAAACTATTCCTTTGTTTTCATTAGAGACTTTATTAGTATGAGCACCAAGCAGTTTATCTGCCACAGTTTTCACAGTAAGCAGGAAGGGTTTGATAAGAGCTTAAAAACATTTGAGCACTTTTTCTAATGCTGGAGAAAATGAGAAGCCCAGTTGGAACTCAGCTATATAGCCCATTTAAAGCAAGTTCCCCACTTCCATAAGAATGTAGAAATTTGGGGGATACCAAAATTATACTAGTCACTTCAAATATTCATCACAAATACTATTTAATAGGACTGTAGGTAGAAACCTATTAGTATTAAAGATAAACTTAAGCAGGTTTTATTTTTACTTATTGTGTAATTTGAGTTAAACTTAGTTTTTACTTTCTGAGGTTGGTAAATTTATAGTATTGAGTGTTTTGAAGCAAACAGTTTTGGGAATAATTTTTTTGGTTGAGTTGCAGTGTTTTAAATGTATCACCGATTTGATCGCATGTCTCAAAAAGACTGGGGCCTGGTGGCTGGTCATCTTGGCACTTTGGGAGGCTGAGGCAGCAGGATCACTTGAGCCCAGAGACCAGCCTGGGCAATACAGTGAGGCACTCATCGCTACAAAATAAAGAAGAATAAATATATAATCAAAAATTTTTTTTTTTTTTTTTTTTAAATGTCTCCTTCCCAAACTATCTCAGGCTAATACTTTCAGTCTTCAACTCTGACCTTCTTTAATACACCTGCCTTTCATTTCTCAATATTCCCAGTCAGGTAATTGTACCTACTGTATGCAGCACAGCATGTTCATGTTAGGGTAGAAAATTGTTACTTAATGTGGCTGTTGCATGGTTGATGGTCATTACTGCTCTCTCAACACTTTTTCTAAAAAGAAAGTTTTGTTGGCCGGGCACAGTGGCTCATGCCTGCAATCCCAGCACTTTGGGAGGCCAAGGTAAGATCGCGCTCCTGCACTTCAGCCTGGGCGACAGAGTAAGACTCTGTCTCAAAAAAAAAGTTTGTATCTATTAATACAAGAGGATCCATCTTTAGTGACTGATAGCATTTTTATTTATTTATTTTTGAGACCAGGTTTTGCTCTTGTTTCCCAGGCTGGAGTGCAGTGGCACGATCTCGGCTCACCGCAACCTCCACCTCCCAGGTTCAAGTGATTCTCCTGCCTCCTGCCTCAGCCTCCTGAGTTGCTGGGATTACAGGCATGCGCCACCACGCCCAGCTAATTTTGTATTTTTAGTAGAGACAGGTTTCTCCACGTTTGTCAGGCTGGTCTTGACACTCCTGACCTCAGGTGATTTGCCTGCCTTGGCCTCCCAAAGTGCCGAGATTACAGGCCTGTTAGCATTTTTATAAAGAATACTTGTACTTCATCAAAACTGTGACATTTGGGACCTGTTCTCTTTATTGTCTTTAAAATAAATTCTTTTTGTTGGCTTTCATCATAAAATTAGATTTCCAATGACAGTAGGGGGGAAAAATCTGTTCTTAGGTTCTCTTCTTACTCTGCCTTTTCCTAGACCACAGATTTCTAAGCCATTCCTTGGGACCTCCTGCCCCACCCCCCCAGGTTTTAGTTAAGATTTAGGGCAGAGGAACCAAAACTTTTATGCTACTAAAATTAAAATTATGTGAAGTCTAGGAACTTTTTGTTCTGTTTTGTAGGCCCAGTACCTGCCACATAGTAATCATTGAATAAAGTTTATTCTCAAAGAGTAACGTAAAAAAGTTCTAGAACACAACTGTTCTAAGAATTCTTCTGCCTGCTCTCTTAGTTTCTTCCTCCCAAATTTGGTATATTTTAATATTTACCTTTGAGATGAAGGCAGTTTTTTTTAATATGGGAAGTTGTATTTGCTGGTGGCTGGTGGTGGTTCATGTCTAATCCCAGCACTTTGGGAGGCTGAAGCAGGGGGATTGCTTGAGCCCGGGAGTTCAAGACCAGCCTGGGCAACACAGTAAGACCGTGTCTCAAAAAAAATGACCAGGCATGGTAGCTCACGCCTGTAGTCTCAGCACTTTGGGAGGCAGAGGCAGGCGGATAACGAGTTTGAGACCAACCTGACCAACATGGTGAAACCCCATCTCTACTAAAAATACAAAAATTAGGCAGGCATTGTGGCGCACACTTGTAATCCCAGCTACTGGGGAGGCTGAGTGAGGTAGGAGAATCGCTTGAACCCGGGAGGCAAAGGTTGAATTGAGCCTAGGTGGCACCATTGCACTCCAGCCTGGGTGACGGAGCAAGACTCTGTCTCAAAAAAAGCAAAAGGAAAAAAAAAATTTTTTTTTAATTGAAAGTGCTTGGTGACCACTAACATCTTAGAGGATCTGTTTGTCCCCACCACCAAAACTAAAAAGCTTCAAACATGTAATGCAATATTGAATATACTCTGGTACTTTTAAAGCTATTTTTATCATGTGATAATACAGGTTTTTTTTTAAAAAACTTACTCGAGAAAAACATACTTTTTCAGTTGAAGTTACTAAAGTTACTTCAGTTGAAGTTACTAAATAAATTATTATTTTTTTTAGATGGAGCTTTGCTGTTGCCCAGGCTGGCATGCAGTAGCATGATCTCTGCTCACTGTAACCTCCACCGCCTGAGTTAAAGCAATTCGCCTGCCCCAATCTCCCAAGTAGCTGGGATTATAGGCTTGTGCCACCCCGCCTGGCTAGTTTTTGTATATTTAGTAGGGATGGGGTTTCACCATGTTGGCCAGGCTGGTTTTGGAACTCCTGATCACAGGTGATCCACCCACCTTGGCCTCCCAAAATGGTGGTGGTATAGGCATGAGCCACTGTGCCGAGCCTAAAATTTTTTATATTACCTGATCATATAGCGAATTCTAGTCTAGTATGACATCACTAACAAGTTCATTTTGTTGATAACTCTGCCATGATGTCATTAGTTGTTGCTGTTTGACCTTTGGAAGACGATAGGAAAAATATATAGTAATTTTTCCTTAAGAAATCCATCCCTAAACTTTCATTTCAAGGTCCAAATTTGTTTGATAAAAATATTGTTACTCAACGTATAGCAAAAATTGCAGGAAGTGCCAAAAGAGTTCCAATACATGATCTTTAAGGGATTATTAACTTCAGAATTTCGTGAAGAAATAAAAGTTAATAAACAGTCATTTGATTCATTTTAAAATTATCTTGTTATTTTATTAAAATAACCTATTTTAACAAAATTTTTTAAATGTTATTTTAATACAATTGTACATTTAGGTAATAAACTAGGGAAGCGTCCTGAGGTTGCTAATGAACAAATAAAACTTGAGTAATAGATTTTTCTGAAAGTTTCAATTTGGTCATGGCTAAAATGGATCTTGGTAGGTTCTTTATACCTGTCAATTATGTAGAAGATAGCTGTTCTGTGACATTCAGGGCCCGTTCTCTTTATTGTGTGTTTAGGTTTTGACTCTTGGATTTATATTTCAAGTCATTCCTGGGAGTTAGTGTTTAGAATTATATGCTAGTTTTGAAGTACAGGTAAACTGTAAAGGCAGGTGAATTGAAATTGTACTTTGGGGTTTATTATTTTGAGTTCTTGTAGGTATTTTTTACTTTTTAGTGTAAAAATACGAGTAGAAATTTGGAATAAACTTTTAATTTCAAAAGAAATGTTATTCTTTTCTTGAATGAGTAATATAAATAGTAGTGTTAGCATAGACAGTTTTATTTTCTGCATTTTACTTATTCGAGCAAACATTTTGTTACTAGATTTTAAAATTTCTTGAAAGTTATACATAGATAATTTTACACTATGCATCTTCCAGTATTTAGCTTTTTGTTAAATCATAATAGAAAGGTGATTACTGCTAAACATTGGGAATTTATGCACCTAATGGTAGTGTTAAAAGATGCTTAGAGTAGAGAACGTAATATAAACAAATACATATCTGAAAGTCCTTTAATTTTCTTGTAACCTATATTAGGTGCAATGTGTCTGAACGCTAATATATGTATTTCTAGATATTTCTACGTTCTGTTTAAAACTTAGTAAAATTGAAATATCTTTTTATCAATCATGCTATTTGTAGGTGGAGACTCCCTGATGTATTTTTGTCATTAGGTTGATCTAGGTTAGCACTGTATACTATTTTTATAGAATCAGTTATTAGTGTGGTACTAAACTTCTGCTTGGTATTAGATGAATTTCTCTAGAAACAAGTAATACTGAAATAAGAAGGAAGGTAGTTAGGAGGCAATTGTAATAGCCAGGCAAAAGATGATGGAGACTTTGAACCAAAATACTGGTTGTAGAGATGGAGGAAAAATCAGACAGTATTTAAATGGTAGAATTCAAGACTTGTTGACAGATTTCAGGCAGAAAGAGTTGGCTGTTTGGCTTTTGCTAGTATCCCTAGGGTTGCTTGGGAGTACAGAATTCATTTTCATATGTCTTGCTTGTGATCAGCCAGGGGAGATATATCCTGTAGACAGCCAGAAAAGTATTTATTGAGCAAAATGAGTCGACTAAAGACATCTTCATTGTAAGTGGTATAGACGAAATGGCCAAGGAAAGAAAAAAAAAAAAAAAGGAAAAAGTTGGTCACATCTAGATATAAGAGACAAGAGTAACAGCCTTTGTCAGTGTATGGTAGGAGGAAAATCAAAGTACTGTTATGAAGGCCAGTAGAAGTTTTGAGAGTTTTTCCATGCAGTTTTGGATGCTGCAACAAAATGAGATCATCTTTATCTTGACATTTATTAAGTATTTATTTGTTGGACATACATAGTTCAAAGTGTTTTACACATACTAATTTTTTTTTTTTTGGTTGGGATGGCCAGATGAACACCCTTGTGGGCATGGTGTACTGTGTTACCCCACATATTGGGCACATTTATGCTATTTCACAGACATGAGGAAGCTGAGGCAGAAAGGGTTTAGTAACTTGCCCAGATGACATTGCTAGGAGAAGGAACAGAGCTAGGAAATTCTAACCCAGTAGTCAAGTTACAAAGTCTCATTTTAGTTTTTAATGCCATATGGCTTCACACTGAAAACATACTTGGTGGGTTGGGTGACTGACTACTGGTCATTGATAAACTCAGCATTTTCAGCGATGAGTTGAAGCTGTGTATCATTTTAATAGTGGATTGTTAGGAGAGAGGAAATTGGTATGAGCCAGTGGTGCCTTCCAAAATTTGGGGAAGGATAAGGGCAAGCACTTAAAATATAACTAAGGTTTCAATTTAGTTTTAAGGTAAGAGGTATGAAGTTATTTATGTGGTAATGAGCAAATTAGCAGAATAGTTGAGTACAGAGAAGGAGTAATACAATGGAATGAAACTGGAAGGTATGCAAATTGGAGTAGGGATAAACAGGCAGGGAATAAATTGGCCTTGGACTGAAAACAAGGTATACCATTTCCTAAATGTTGTGTCTCATACATTTTTGAATGTATGGCTATGTTGGGGAAGCTTACTGGTCCCATGAACTTGGAAACTTTGTATTTGTTTGCTGATGGGGTCCAGTATCTTCTGGAAAAAGACTTGGATGGAAAATACTAGTTTTATTATTTACTCACTGGTATAATTTTGCAGTATCAAAGTTAGTCTGTTTTGGTTTCTTCCCCGCTTCGGCGAGTTGGAATCTTGCTCTGTTGCCCAGGCTGGAGTGCAGTGTTGGGATCTTGGCTCACTATAACCTCTGCCTCCCAGGTTCAAGCAATTCTCCTGCCTTAGCTTCCCAAGTAGCTGGGTTTACAGGTGCTCGCTACCATGCCTAGCTAATTTCTTTCTTTTTAAAAATTTTATTTTAGTAGATACGGGGTTTCTTGTGTTGCCCAGGGTAGTCTTGAACTCCTGAGCTCAGGCAATCTGCCCACCGTGGCTTTCCAAAGTGCTAGGATTACAGGTGTGAGCCTACCGCACCCAGACTGTTTTGGTTTCTTTATCCATACATGGTGAATGAAGCCAGGTAGTCTGGAGTGTTGGCACCAGCAGCTTTCCACGTAATCTAATGATGTATTAGAAGGAACATACTATCACAAGAAGATCTTAAGGAATAATTTGTTTCCCTGTATTACAAGGTTGGGGTTTTAATATTCCGAAGAAAGCTCAAAATGATCTTTGTTCTAGTGACATGCATTTAGCTAAAACCAGACATTCAAATCTTGATCAGTCCATTGTTACTATAGACTGTTAATAGTCCCTTCTCCTGCCTTACTAGAAAGTGAAAGTAGCCTCTTTTAATTTAGTAGGTGATTGATTTAGATATACTGGCTAAACACAGTACATATAAACAGTATATTTACTCTGTGGATTGTATTTGGGTACCAGTAGTCTTAGGTTAGATCTGTAATTTTGATTTATGGTCCACAGAGCAGCTTCAGTGAAAAATAGAGAAGCCAGTCATTTGGGGATTTGGTTCTTTTCCTCTGTAAACCTAGGATAATTTTATTTTTATCTGGTCTAGATTTTAGAATTCCCTGTGAGATTTTTATGAAAAATTCCTTGGTAGATCAACATGAAAATACAGTGGTATGATTGGCCAAAAATGTTTGAAATATTATAAGGTTTTGTCACCTAATTGTTTAGTAATCAGTCATATTTCAGATGATCTCCCCGTATGTATTTTTGCTTTAAAAGTTTTTTGGGTTTTTTTTTTTGAGACATGTGGTCTTAAATGTTGGCCAGGCTGAAGTGCAGTGGCTATTCACTGGCATGATCCCACCACTGAGTAGGCTTTAAGAGTTAATACATTTCATTTAGGTTACATTTTATTGCTAACCTGTGTATTTGAATTGTGGTCTTTCAAACAGAATTCAAAGAAGCTTTTTCACTATTTGACAAAGATGGTGATGGAACTATAACAACAAAGGAATTGGGAACTGTAATGAGGTCTCTTGGACAGAATCCCACAGAAGCAGAGTTACAGGACATGATTAATGAAGTAGATGCTGATGGTAAGTCTTTAATTTTGCAGGGTGGGAGGAGATGAAGAAATGATAATGATATTCTATTTTGATGTTTCAACTAAACCATTTCAGGTAATGGCACAATTGACTTTCCTGAATTTCTGACAATGATGGCAAGAAAAATGAAAGACACAGACAGTGAAGAAGAAATTAGAGAAGCATTCCGTGTGTTTGATAAGGTAGGTCAAAGACTGGATATGTCAGATTTTGAGAATGAAATGAAGATACCAGGACTCATGAAGGCTTGTTTTTCTGATGATCTACCAACATACCTTAATCATCAAGCAAAAGGTTTTTAGGAATTTAGTATATATTTTCTAACATATGTATTGCATTAATCTTGTCAAAGGAGGTGCCACTTTGGGATTAGGAAATAGTGATTTCAGTATAGGACATTTTGCTTGGCTCTTTCAGTATAGGACATTTTGCTTGGCTCTTAATGACATTTGTAGGTCAACTGTGTAGATTTGTATGCATTTTTAAAGTATGTTTTTCCCCCTAATGTGAAATTTGGTAGTAAACTTACTGAATTTCCATTCCAACTCTTTAAGTCTATAATTTTACTCAGAAACTATACTAAATTTTTTTCTAGGATGGCAATGGCTATATTAGTGCTGCAGAACTTCGCCATGTGATGACAAACCTTGGAGAGAAATTAACAGATGAAGAAGTTGATGAAATGATCAGGGAAGCAGATATTGATGGTGATGGTCAAGTAAACTATGAAGGTAAATCTTTCAGTCTCACCACATTCTTCACTTTTTTAAGTTAGAGGTGCTTGTTAGGTATCTGATCAGAATTAGTGACACTTCCCCCCCCCCCCAAATTAGGATGCTAAAACAGTTACTTATATTTAACATTTTGTTAATTCAGTGTTTTGTCTGCAGACTAGGCAACATTGCCCTCACCTGAGAACTTAATTTAGAAATATTTACCATCAGGTTCTACCCCTACACCTGGAATCAGCATTTTAAGATTCTTGAGTGATTTATATGTAAAGTGAGAAGCACTGTACAATTTTCATTTCGGATTGTGGAACAATGTGGAAAGCACATTTATTCTGAATTTCCCAAAATGAAATTAATGTGACTTTCTTTTTCCCCACTGTATTATCTTTTTTCTCTAATTGGCTTTAGTCTGAAACTAAAGTTTACATGTGCTTCAAAAGTATCATATCTGACTGTTAACTTTGAGATAGCCATATCATGAAGAAAGGCATTTAGAAATGGAAGGATTTTCAGTAAAACTATTTTTTCATGATGTCACTACTTAGAAAACAGCATAAAATTCAATATTATAAAAATTAAACCTAATCCATAGCACTGAATTTACAATATTGACTTGTAACCCAGCAGTATTCAAGTATAAACTAAGAGCCAAGAACACGTTTTTTATATTAGCTTATCTAAAGCATTAATTTGGCTCTTTTTAATAATCCTGAATAGTTAGGTTAATGAAGTTCCAGCCTGGGCAATAAACCAGCTTTCCTCTGTACTTAATTCTGAGGAAGGAGAAAGAGGAATGGAAAGAATATTCAGTGATTGAGTAAATGTGATTTTTTTTTTTTTTAATCAGTCTTTTGCTGTTGACTCAAATTTTTTTATGTACTTCTTCTTTTTCAGAGTTTGTACAAATGATGACAGCAAAGTGAAGACCTTGTACAGAATGTGTTAAATTTCTTGTACAAAATTGTTTATTTGCCTTTTCTTTGTTTG